GCTCAGTTCCCGAAGAGTTTCTTGCACATTAATGGAGTTGCTTTTAAATGAATAACAAAAAGCTGAGATTTATTGGTTCATTCTTTTCTCCTACTTGAGTTCTCCTTCTTGAGTTTTCCTCTCTGCAGGCAAAGTGTTTGTGGCAGCTGAGCCAGCTGGGATCACTTTGTTCCAGTGTGACATGAACACTGCCCTCCCTTGCCTTCACATGTGGCGGGCACCCCCAGAGAGGGATTCTTGGCCTTGGGATCAAATCCTCCCGCACCATGCCTTGTCTGGGCTGTGCTAATGAACTCTCTACAACTTGCAAAATTCTGTGCTGCTCCTCAGTTGGCCAGGTCAGTTGGCTGAGGCTGCAAAAACCCTATGAGGCACAACTGGGTGGGCAGGCGAAGCTCTGCAATGCAGCCTCTGCTTTGCATGCAGAAAGTATGAAGTTCAATCCCCACCATCTCAAGGTAGGTGAGGAAATGACCCCGTCTGTATGGTGTTGACCTGAGGTGGGGACCATATTATAGGCTGAGGGCCACTTTGCCTCACTGAGCAGGGGCCTGATACCAGTGCTATGCTGTGGGGAATATGGGTGTGCCCAGACACATACTAGTCTCTATCCTCCAGGCAAGCAAGATCACTACCACTCTTTGAGGACAAGACCCAGCATGGGGCAAGCAGCATTTAAATTATAGTAATTATTTCTAAATTACCATTGTGGACAGATTGCCTGGGACTGACAAGAGCTGTAGTCCAAAAGGTTTGGAGGGCACTAGCTTCACAGAGGCAGAATTAGCATGTGCAAATGTGGCACAAATATGTATTGCCTGGCGATAGCTGGCCCTAGAACAGGTATTTTCAACCTTTTCAGACACAGCACCCACTTTTAACCCAAGCATGCATTTGGGGGCCAATTTCTGAATCATTTACCACATATTTGCATGGTGGTAGTGCCCCGGTTGCACTAGGAGGTCCCAAGCTGGAGATCAGTGCTCTCAAATAGAGTGCTTTCTTAATAGAAAGGTGGGCATGGCTTTTTGTAAAGGTGTCATGTATGCAGAGGCTGAAGGGGCAGAGAAATTGGAACGAGGTGTTGGCTAAGTTAGGCGTGGATTGTCCTGTCAGCTTCAGTTCTCTCAGTTCCTCATTCTTCCAGTCCTAAATTCTGCCCCAATCTGCTGCTTCTTCTTTTTTTTAAAAAAAAGCCTCATGAAAAATCATCAACATTTTAGTCCAACTTTCTCCTAATAAATATTGTGCTTGCAATTTCCCCTAATATACACATTTTTGCATGCTACTTTCACCAATATATGCATTTCAAGGCAAACTTTACCCCAATATATGCATTTTTTTACACATTACTTGGCTGGAGAACTTCATTGCAAAACTGAGAGAAGTCTGAATTTTGATGGGTGGATGGGTTCCAATTTGCATATTGTTTCAGAAAGTGTGAATTTTGAAAGCTCGCCTTCAAAAGTGAATGCAATTGAATTTCTCCTTAATCTAAGACAGCTGGGTTCTCCGTGAAATAGTCCAACTCTCCAGCTCCTTGATCCTCTCACTTCTCCAGTCCTAATCTCCTCATCTCTTCTCAGATCTTTAGCAGCTTCATTCCTTGAAAGTCAGGGAAGGATCCGGACCCCTTCCCATCCAGAAGCATTCACACGGTTTGCAGAGGAATCGCAAACAGCAGGACTTGGCCCCACGCTTGGTTGGCTCAGAGCCCAAGGAGCTTTCTTCTACCTTATAAAGTCATTTCATCATGGCACGCTGCTCCCAGTCACCCTGTGAGGAATGCATTGCTGTGTCCCCACTGAAAGGGCCAGCAGGAAGTCAGTAGGGCAGCCAAAAAGGAGAACTGGCTGGAAGGCAGATCCCATGTCTCAGCTGCCATGGCCACAATCTCACACGGCCTGAGGAGGGTCTGTCTGTGCTCCACTGCTGCTTGCTGTGCTTCTCCTAACATAAATATTTCTCTTGCCACCAGAACCTGCTCCTACCTCCCCTCTCTTTTTCTCTTGCAAAAGAAAGAGAGAGAAAATTAATGGGTTTCTCAGCCCAGATGGGGTTACTAATGCAATCATTTCCTCTCATCTCCCTGCATCCTGGTTCTCTTAAAGAACCCCAGCCTGTTGTCTCTGCCACAAAAGCTTAGTAATTCCTTTGCTCAGGAGCCTCTGACCTTTAATATATAATAGAAACATTATTGCTTCCATGCATGAAGTTATAGATTCTTCTATGAAGCCTCAAGGCTTGTCCGCTCTCATCGCCTGCTCCAAATCCTGCCCTCTACCAGAGAAGCTTCTCTACCTCTTTTGAGATAGAAGATAAATTTTCTTATTCGGTAGGTTGACAAAAGTCCATGCTGGAGAATTTTCTCTGCCTGTTGCTATTAAATGTCCCTGTTTCCTGGGGACAGTCCCCGGATTTGTGAGTAATTTCCTGGACAAATTCGATCCCCGGAATGTCCCCGGATTTCATCTAATGTCCCCAGGAAACACGGCGGCAGTCTCAGCAGCCCGGAGCAGTTGGCTCTGGCTGGCTTCAGGAGCTGCTCGGAAGTCCCCATATGATGGTGGTGTAGGGGCTCCAAGATGCAGCTTCCGGGCTGCCTCCACCTTCCCTGACCCCAGCAACTAAGCTGCTAAGGGAGGCTTCATGCTGCCTATCGGAGCAGCCTCCCAACTCCTCCTTGCGTGCAAGCAGGAGTGGGGCGGGGATCTCTCAGCTGTGAAGGGAAGCTTCACAGGAGGGGGCAGGGGTCTCTCAGTTAGGCAAGGGGAAGCCTCCCTTCCCAGCTGAGGGATCCCCGCCCCCTCCTGCTTGCATACAAGTAGGAATGGGATTGGGGCTGCTCCGATGGGAAGGGAGCATAGCTGTCAAGTGTCCCTTATTTGAAGGGACAGTCCCTTATTCCAGCGCCATGTCCCGCTGCTGTCCCTTATTGATGGATGTCCCTTAAATGTCCCTTAAATGATGTCCCTTAAATTTCAAAGGAAGCAGCTCCTCTCCCTCCCTCCCGGCCGGCCAGGGAGGAGGGAGGCTCCAACTGTGTTGCTTGGCTGTGTTGCTCACCCAATAAGAAGTCTAAGAACGACTGGGGGGTGGAGCTTACATGCCTTGTGTGTGGCTAGTTAATGCAAGCTGAGGGGTTTTTTGAATGCTGGACGCCATTTTGTTGCACGTGCTGCTGCAAACTTTGCAGTGCAAAGCCAGGCCGGGGAGCCATCTTAAGTTGAGGCTGCATAGGCCTTGTGGTGCATGTGATTCAGATTCTATTCAGTTGAACCTCTGGTTACAAAGTTGGTTGGACAGTGTTCTCGAAGCTACCAGCATGACCAGACTGCAGGAAGACAGGAAGACTGGAGTGCCTGGAACAGGTGAGGCTGCAGGTCCCTTATTTTGGCTGCTGGTCCCTTATTTTCAAGGCTGCTGGTCCCTTATTTTCAAATCTGTAAGTTGACAGCTATGGAAGGGAGGCATCACTTTGCCTTGAGCCTCGCCGCCACCACTCTTGGCCTTTCTTCTCCGCCTTCCATGACTGACCCACCGCACAACTTAGGGGCTGCCCAAGCTCATGGAGAAAGGAGATAGAAGCCTTGGAGGAAGGGGAAATGTGGCGGTTGAGGTCAAGGCGGTGGCCGCCCCTCTGCTACAGCCATCGCTGCAGCATCAATGTCCCGAACATGTAGTAATTAATTAATTAATTAATTAATGCGTCCCCAAATTCATTGAAAAAAATCTGATAACCTTAAATTAGAGTGCATTACAAAGGACAGCCCTCTAGTTGAAGCACTGTCCAGTTAAGCCTGGTTTGAAGATGATAAAGATAAAGAACGGAGAACAGAGGGGGCCTTGAAGTTGCCCATGAAACCATTAGCAGGATCTGGGCAGCAAACTGAGCAGGGATACCAGAGGTCACCAATAGTGACTTCCCTGCTCTGGTCAATTTCTATTTGAATTACTGTATTTTTTGTGGAAAAAATGCATCATTGCATATAAATTCCTGTATGCATGTTATGCAAATTGGTATCCAATTTTATCCTTTTTTTTGGAGATGCATATATTATATTACCAGTATATATTATTTATTTCAACTTATATCCCACCCTTCCACTGGAAGGAGTCCAGGGCAGGAAACACATCAATTGTATGAGAACTTTTCCAGGCTTCTTTTCCATTGAGGGTTTAGGAAAGTGTTAAGGGGGCTATATTGATTCATTTATTAAACAAATTTATAGACCACACCATAAAGTCATAATAGCCCTGTGCAGAATGCAAGTGAATCCCTGAGTGCTTTGCCCCACGTGTGTATGCTGATTTGACTAATAGACACATGTTTGCTGGTAGTTTTCCATAATTTAACACATGTTTGGATGTCGTCTTAAGAAATGCATGTGTTTTGGTGCACCCTGTCCCCTAATGTACACATCTGATTAGAGAACTGCATCACAACATTACGAGATGACACCTGTGTTTTGGTTTGCATACTGGTTCATATGGCATGAATTAGGTAGTTATTGAAATGCAAACAAAATTCTCCCCCTTCCGTACAGTAACCCCATTGAGATGCAGACACCCACCTGGGGTTCTTTTAAAAAAAGAAACCAATGGGGAAGATACAAGTCACCACTTTGCAAATGAACTTTTCTGAAACCACCCTATAAAAAAGGCCTGAGCATGATGGGGGAAAGGTCATCCTTGAGTTTTGTGCTTTTAGGAAATGCCTTGTTCTTCTCCAGAGAGGGATTCACAGCACACACACACACACACACACACACACACACACACAAACCTCTTGAGAGGCAAAAGGAAGAGGTGATGAGGAGAGGACAACTGGAGGAGATTACTAGAAAAACTAACAGAAAAATCTAAGGTCTCCATGTTTGCCAGTAATAATGAAACTCAGGCTGGGCATGGTCAGGCAAATGGCAGGGACTCCACACTCCAGAGAGGGCTGAGGCGAGAAATACTTTATTCCTATCTGATGGACAAGTCTTTCTCTTTGGGGAAGGGCCATAGCTCAGTGATAGAACACCTGCTTTGCAAGCAGAAGGTCACAGCTTCAATCCCTGGCATTTCCAGGCAGGGCTGAGAGACTTCCCTGCCTAAAACCCTGAAGACCCATTGCTGCTGATCCATGATGGATCAATGGTCTGATTCAGTATAAGGCAGCTTACTATGTTCTTATTGACTGCTGAACATTGTTTGCTGGGGACAGTTGTCCCTGTTGCCCAGCAGCTGGGCCAGTTCTGCCAATGGTTTCAGTGAGCCTCTGCTCGTATAGACATGGGAAGCCTTAGACAGTTCCTATAGAAAGGAAGGCTACCAGTTGCTGGAAACCATGGAAGGGAAGAGAGGGCTCTTGGGCTCAGATCCTGCCTGTGGGATTCCCATGGGGGCATCTGGTTGGCCACTGTGAGAACAGGAGGCTGGATCAGATGGGCCCCCTATGGCCTGATCCAGCAGGCTCTTCTTAGGTTCTTATGACAGTCCTGATTGTCCCACCCTTTTCCTCAACCTAAAGGTGTAGACCACCCACACAAAGCCCAGTTGTGCTGTTGGAGGGGAGGGAGAGGAGGGTGTTGTGGTGGCTGGATTGGAGGATTAATTGGCCACTCAGGTTCAACAAGGGCAGAGTGTCCAGGAATGGCTGCTGGGGTGGGGTGGGGTGGAACAAGGCTCCCTTGTTCACAGGCCTTCGTCACCACCACCTCTCCTTTGAAAGGGACCTCCAGCCTATCCTTTGGCCTCAGGAAATAAGAAGGCCGCTTCAGTCCACAGCCTGCTCTGCAAACACTGCCACAGACAAGGCCACTGTTGTTCAGAGCATCATGGAGGCCCAGCTCTCAGCGTGTTTTTCCACCTTAAGAAAATTGTGTGGCTCCAGCAGGAAATGGAGGGGAACATACAGACTCTTTCAGGGCAGGGAGGGTGTCGTTTTCCTGGAATAAGCTCTGCCATGCTCTCTGGTGGTGCTTAAAAGAGCTCTTTTGATGAATCCTGTTTACTCTTACAAGACTTGTATTACTTTCTCTGGCACACCTACCAGCCCCTCCCTCCATTAACACACAAGCACACACATTAAATATAACACACCCATAATTTCCAAATCAATGCTTTGTTCTGCTTCTGGTCTGTGTCAGTTTGTTAAGAACATGAGAGAAGTCCTATTGCAGAGCTTTCCAAACTTTTCATGTTGGGGACACACTTATTAGATGTGCATAATTTCGCGGCACAGTAATTCAGTTTTACTAGCAAACCAAAAGTTAACCCCTTTCCAGCATTTGCACAACACACCTACACACTGCAGTCAGCACACCACTGTGTCACGACACACAGTTTGTAAAGCTCTGCCCTGCTGGATCAGACCAAAGGCCCCTCAAGTCCAAGCTCCTGACCTCACAGAGGCTGACCAGAAGCCCGCAAGCAGGACTTCAGGGCAGCTGCACTCTCCCCACTTGCAATTCCCAGGGCCTGGCATTCAGAGCCCTCTGACACTGGAGGTGGCACAGAGCCATCAGGGTTAGCAGCTGCTGGTAATTCATTCATACATCTGTTCTATCCTGTGTTTGCATCAATCTAGGATTCCTTAAATAAAATAAAACTGCACACACAAAAATCACATTTACATGCATATTTTACAACCAGATATGAATTTGCATATGTATTTTCTCTCAGTGTTTGCATATTTAGATGAAAATGTGCATTGTAAATGCACTTTGGTGTGTTTCTTAAGCTAAGAACTAAATTTGGAGAAACAAAATTTAAAGGATAAATATGTTCCAATCTACACATTAGTCTGGGAACTGGAGTTCATTTCAGGGCTCATCCAGACTTCCTTTTGTGCCGTGTTTCTAGGCACAGGTCCAAGATTTAAAGCTCTGTGTCTGAATTTGTGTGGGTTCTATTGGCCCTGCACTTACCCCAGGAAAACACTTGTTTTACCGCTGAATCAGAGCAAATGGCAATTGGGTTTTCAGTGGATTCCCATTTGCTCCAATTCAGTGGTAAAATGTGGGTTTTTCCTGAGAAAGGAAAAACAAACAAACTCGGGCACAAAGTGCAGATCTATGCCTGGAAAGTGCAGCACAACAGGAAGTCTGGATGAGCCCTCAGTTTGCATCTGAATTCACAGCAATCAAATTCCGATTCCATAACAAACCCCATTTTTGGCACCAGTAATTCCATTCCTATTTTTCCTGCTGGTGATGCCTTGTTAAAGTGGTAACGTGTTCTGATGGAGTAGTCTTCTCTGTTTACATGCTAAATTGGTATTACGGTTGACATTTAAATTATGGCAGTATAAACAGTTGTAAGACTCGTAGATTCATACAATTATAGAATTGTGAAGTTGGAAGGTGTTACAGTGGTACCTCGGGATGCGAACGGGATCCGTTCCGGAGCCCTGTTCGCATCCTGAATAGAACGTAAGACGTGGGTCTGTGCGGGTCGCATCTGCGCTGGTCGCATTTTGCCACTTCCGCGCATGAGCGTGACGTCATTCTGAGCATCTGTGCATGCGCGAGCGACGAAACCCGGAAGTAACGCGCTCCGTTACTTCCGGGTCGCTGTGGAACGCAATCCGAAAGCACTCAACCTGAAGCACATTCAACCCTGCTCATTTTCCCTTATGGGGTATCCAAGAGCCTGTATAGAGTCCTTATGTGGGTTCCCTATCAGTAGGAGAAAATAACAGAGGCCAACCAGAGTATATTAAGAAGCAAAGCGGCTAGTAAGCCTGATCTTTATTAACTGTTGCAAGAGGGAGGTGAGAATCCAGAACAATGGTGTGCAAACCCTTATATAGACTTTTGAAATTGCCCACCCTGTTGCGCAAGACCAAAGTGGTTTGGGAGAGTCAAAATGGTTTCAGGATTGCTTTCCTGTACCATTTCAGACACATGGTTTATATACTTATGTATGTGTCTGCCTTGTACATTTATGAATGTTTGTTTTATCTTTGGGACCTTAGAATTCTTATAACATTCCCCCCTCTGGGGCTATAATTTTTACTAAAATAAATTGCCCCATAAGTAATAACCATATGTTGTAAATGGATGTTTTTGTGTAAACCTGAAGAGACTTGCATGTCAGGCCTCTTAAGGCTATTCGCAAGTGTAGCAGTGCACATAGTTGGACATGTTGTTTGTTGTTGTTTAGTTGTTTAGTCATGTCCGACTCTTCGTGACCCCATGGACCAGAGCACGCCAGGCACTCCTGTCTTCCACTACCTCCCGCAGTTTGGTCAAACTCATTTTAATAGCTTCGAGAACACTGCCCGACCATCTCGTCCTCTGTCGTCCCCTTCTCCTTGTGATAGTTGGACATAGGATATCACATAAAAATAACACATATTGCATTCTCTTACTAAATTACTTGTGGCCTTCTAGCACTTTGGGAGAAACATTTTCTCAATAGTGTTCTATGCTTTCACTTAACAGGAAGGTCCAATGATTGAAAAATGCAGTTTGTTTTGTTTCTGCCTTTTTGTGTTTTCAGGTGTCAGAGTTAGCCTCCTGACCCTGCACGTTCAGCATACCCACAGCAACAACCCACCATAAAGGTTAGGACTTTCATATTGATGGCCTTAAGCAATATCCCATGTAGCTAGGTGGCGACGCTCCATGTAGCTAGGTGGCGACACTCCATGGAGATAAATGCCCCATCTTGCCCATCTTTGGGGGTTTTCTTTGGCTTTGGTCCTGTGCTCAAGGGGTGTGTTGCAACCCCCTGCAATGCAGGAATCTCAACCCTGCTCGGCAGGGGGTTGGACTCGATGGCCCTTGTGGTCTCTTCCAACTCTATGATTCTATGATTCTATGCCAGATGGCCATCCAACCACCACGGAAGGAGAGTCCACAACCTCCCAAGGGAGAGTGTTCCACTGTCTATCAGCTCTTAGTGTCAAAAAGTTATTTCTGGTGTATAGCCGGAATCTCCTTTCTTGTAATTTGAAGCCATTGGTTCGAGTCCTACCCTCCAGAGCAGGAGAAAACAAGCTTGCGCCATCTTTCATGTCACAGCCCTTCAGATATTTGAAGATGGCTATCCCATCTCCTCTCAGTCTCCTCTTTTCTTTACTTTTTTGCCAAATAATTTTTTATTGATTTTCAAACATTTTAACAAATTAACATCAAATTAATTCAAATTTAATACAAATGTAAAAGCTGACTTCCCACCCTGTTTCAGTGATGTTCCTCTTCTTTCCCTTACTCACTGCTTAATGTAACATACATTTCCTAATTCCATTTCAATAATTAAAATATTTAAACAGTTTATCTCACCCCCCCTTTCTTCATTTCCAACAGGCTGTACATATTTCAATTCCTGCCTAAGCCCACAAAAATCATTTAGTATAAATAAATATTTTCAGGGCCATCTTTAGCATATGCGCTGCCAGGGTGCAAAGATCTGCCCAGTGCCCCCAAATTTAGTTTAGCCCCCAAATCTATTTTGGAATGTATTTCTATTTACCCCAAAATGTGTTTCTCGCTTAGCATTCATCGTAAAATGAAGAGAAAATGCAGCTCGTGGAATTCATAGTGTGTGTGTGTGCTCTAGGCTCATTTTTGTGGAAATGGAAAACTAAAATCACATGCTGAAACACATGTGTAGTAGATATTGAGTCTGGATTGCCAGACTGCTTTGAGCCTGTCCATTTGTATATCACCTGTGCTTTTTATCAGGAGCCAGGCAGACAGAAGAAGAAGAAGAAGAAGAAGAATTTATTATTTATACCCCGCCCATCTGGCTGAGTTTCCCCAGCCACTCTGGGCAGCTCCCAATCAAGTGTTAAAAACAGTACAGCGTTAAATATTAAAAACTTCCCTTCAGATGTCTTTTAAAGATAGGATAGCTGCTTATTTCCTTCACATCTGAAGGGAGTGTGTTCCACAGGGTGGGCACCACTACCAAGAAGGCCCTCTGTCTGGTTCTCTGTAACCTCACTTCTCGCAATGAGGGAACCGCCAGAAGGCCCTCGGTGCTGGATCTCAGTGTCCGGGCTGAACGATGGGGGTGGAGACACTCCTTCAGGTATACAGGACCGAGGCCATTTAGGGCTTTAAAAGTCAGCACCAGC